CCCGATCAAAGCCATCAGGGGCTTGTAGGATCAGACCCAGCAGTTTAATTGACAAAAGTATCACAGGCACGGCGACGACGAACACACAACTAACACACAGACAATAGGCTAAGCCTTACAGGGCCCAGGAGTCACACAGGCACGACGAGGACGAGAACACAACAATAATAATTATAATAATAATAATCAATCAATAGGTGTTTCAATCAATGTTTATTAAAGTGTCCAGGAACAACCAATCGGTCTTAGTGCTGGCACACTAAAAAAATGAGCAAAAACACACACATACAAACACGCATACACACGAGTGCAGAAGGAGAACGTAGCTCTCCAGGCTGAGAATAAAAATATTAACAAGTATGAAAGACACTCAAATCAATAAGGGAAATCAAAAGCACAAAACAGAGACATCACCAGGTGTAAGAGCAAAAAGCACATACTACATCAACGCTTCAACTGATCAGCCCTTTTCCTGCAAGAGGAAGATTCGAACAGCATTTCCGAAATTGCTCCCGCATGAGTTAAAAATATCAATTGTGTCAGAGTAGCGATTATAACACTCAGCCGATTTTTGTATCGGGTTTAATTGGCTAAAATGTCGAGCTATATAAAAATATGATTGTAGCCGTGTAGGCACACGTGGAACCCTGAAGCTCACTTCAGACAGAAGGCTGGGAGAGTTAATCGAGCCGTGCAGGGTCTTAAACAAAAACAACAAATCTGCCTTCACCCGACGCTGCTGCAGGCTCAACAACTTGACAAGTTGCGAGTTACACACACCATTCAGACAAGGACCACCTTTCTCAAGGTAACGATATTTCAAGATAGAAATAAATTTGTTATGGACTCGCTCGACCGATAAACTGTTAGTTTTGGAAATGCCGTTCCAAACAACCGAGGCGTACTCTAGCTGGGATCTAACTAAGGAACAATACAGCGTAAAAAAAAGGGACGGGCTTTTGAATTCCTTCGTTATGCGAGACACGGCACCTAACGTGCGCAAGGCCGATTGCACCACTCTGATAACGTGAGTGTCAAACCTCACGGTTGAATAAAGACAACTCCAAAGTCCCTCAGTTCACTTACACGTGACAGCAGTTCGCCATGATAACTATATGGAAAGAATATATCATGGGTCTTGCGAGAATATGTCATTACTTTTGTTTTAGAATGATTCAAACGGAGGTCATTGTCTAAACACCAACGACCGAAGAAATATGCGTCATTCTGAAGCGCGATGCAATCCTCTAAGGTCAATATTTTTTTCTAAAGTTTTATATCATCAGCGTACTGCAGAAATGAAGAATTTAATATAACTCGAGAGTCATGATTTACAAAAATATTAAAAAGGAGGGGCCCAAGACAGATCCCTGAGGCACTCCAGAGCTTGCCCTGTACAAGGACAATGTTGTATTGTTGACGCGGACGTAGGCTTGCCTATCAGACAAATAGGTTTTTAACAAATTGTATAGCGAATCACATACTCCGTAAGAGGAAAGCTTGTTTAGGAGGATGTTGTGGTTGACTACGTCGAATGCCTTACTCAGGTCGAAATAAAAAAAAACGTCAAGCTGACCTCTATTACAAACTACTTCAGAGGCAGTAGACGTAAAAGATACGAGATTGGTGGATGTCGATCTGCCGGACATGAAACCATGCTGATTAGGAATGACTATACTAGGAAACTTGGAGGATAGGAATTGATAGATTACCATTTCAAAGAGTTTGGAAACAGACGAGAGAAGAGAAATCTGTTTGTAATTAAGAACATCACCACTATTTCCAGATTTCAGGACCGGAACAACCACTGCCAGTTTCCAGTCGTCAGGGAATATCCCTGACGTCAAGGAGTTATTGAAAATTGTGCACAGTATAGGCGTAAGTAATTCATGATAACCCTTAACAATTGCAGCGGGTATCCCGTCATGACCTGCAGAAAATGTGGGTTTCATTTTCTTAATACATAACCTAACACATTCCTCATCGACAACCACAGAACCCAATGAGTCACCAATTACGTCCGAGTGAGGCAACAGAGTTGAGGAGCAGTTAATATTATTAATGTAAGCTGACGCGAAGTGATCCGCAAACAACTCAGCCATGTCCTTCACAATGCCGCTATGCTGATTCAAGATGATTTTGGACTCAATATTCTTCCCCAAGCGCGATTTAGCGTACCTCCAAAATTTCTTGGGATTTTTAACAAGATCTCATTCTACCGAGTCAGAATGCGCCTGGCGATCACGGTTTAAAATTTTCTTACATCGCTTTCTGCAAATTTTAAATTCAACTTCCCACTTTGGAAGACCACTTTTTTTAAACCTCCTGTGCAAAAAATCTAAAAAAATCAAATAATAACAATAATAACAACAACAATAATAATAATAATAATAATAATAATATTATAATAAACGACTAACCTCGATGGCGTACGATTTGTTTCTCATGCTGGCCTGCACTACACCGGTAATACGCTTCAGGTCGTCATCGTAACTGATCCGCATGACATAGTTTAATTATACGGCGTTTTCGCCCCTCTGAACCAATGTCTGAACTAAGCTGGGTTCTTCACAGAAAAAAATACGTATTGCGGAGGCCTCTACGGCCATAGCGATGCCCTCGATTTTGTCGCTCGTTTACTGACGCAATTCAATGAAGACGCCCGCAGCAACAGAGTCCAGCAATTTTATCGTGTCGTCTGCTACCAAAGCAAAGCGGAGTGCAATACTTCAGAAATGGCTTTCATCGTTGCAATACGACACTGAGACGACAAGAACATCTTCACAGTTAGATACCAAGAAGTTAGGTTGTTTACAAAAAACTATTTACTTGGAAGCAAAGATCTAGCCTTATGTGGAGTCTCCATGCATTAGTCCATAGCAACGTCCCTAACAACGGTTTGTTCGGACCCAGACGTCAAGTTGTGACGTCATCACTTACGTGGTCAATCGAGCACGATGCTCCTGAATTGACTTCAATCGGGACTTCCTGCCCTTGAATCTGCACTTCAATGATGAACTTTTCAGCCTGGTCACGCACTTCGCATATAGCAAAAAATGCTCTCATTTCAGCGATGCCCCTGTTCTTTCCCTCCCGCTTACGCAAGTCAATTGGCTTCCGCGACGCCTGACTCTCGTCGTTTCAACGACATGCTTTTGCCAAGTGTCCAACCTTTTTGTATTTCAAACACGCAGCGTTTCTAAAGCACTACACATGCGGTTCGTGGTTACCATTGCAGCGGAAGCATCTGACGCCGTTTGCCGTGGTGTCCAGTTTCATGTGTGTCGCTTGAATCAGACCTTCGCTCTTTTATATTCCGTCTTGAGCTTACTTGCGTATATTGTGCTGCTGCTTTGCCTTTGCTTCCGCCGTCAGCGTCATGTCGTACGCCACCTCGAACGTAAGGTCGTGTTCTGAGAGCAGCCGCTGTTGAATCGCTTCGTTCTTGATGCCGCATACGAATGGGTCCCTCATCATGACGATCCAATGGAAGCTGTTTGTCACCGAAACCGCAGTCTTCAGCCCGCTTACGGAGCGCCGTAACATACTCCTATACCGCCTCACCGTGAGCTTGGTTTGTTCGGTAAAATAAGAATCTTGCGTACAGCTCCGGAGGCCTAGGAAGCATGTGCTTCCACACCGCCCCTTGATTTCGTCGTAGCTTGCCGCGGTCGGTCCTGCTGGCTTGACTAAGGTCACGATCTGTCCGTACGTGTCCTCGCCGCAACTACTAAGCAGAACCGCTCGTTTCTGCTCGTCCGTGGTTATCTTGTTGGCAGCACAGAACATCTCTAGCCGTTCGACATATGCATCCCAGGACGCATTCGTGCCGAGTCGATATTCGCCGATCCTGCCGATCGACATTTTGCCTTACTCGAACGGGACTCGCCCGTCCGCGACCCGCCTCGTCACCAATGTAATGGATCCTTTAGACAGCGCGGTTGGAACAAAACAGCGGTTTATTTCCGCATGAGCGTTTATATCACTGCACGTGTTATGATAAGCGAACGCGGCTTGCGTTGGAGAGAGGCACTGATAGCGATAACAACGAATATGTATTGCCACTACATGACAAATTGCCTCGAAGTTCAGTCTTTCCACGCGATCAAAAGTGCCGTTGTCCTATCGTTTCGTCAATATACTTGCGTGTTTAACCTTATGCTAACTTTTAAGAAGGTTCATCACGGCTTGGTGTAAAGCAAACTAGACCACACAAACGAACAAAATACATCTTCCTTTCGAAGTGTACTAGATATACGAGGCTCGTGCAAAATGTACATATGGCTGATCTGTTTAGGTAGCACGCAATATCGAAACCAGGAGCGTCATGGATTGCACGCATGCGCTACGCATTTCAGAAGAAGATTTATTGCGCACCGGCCCTTCGGCTTATAACATCGGCCGCGCTCGGACCTAAGCTGAAACAAGCTATAGCCAAGGGCAGGATTTTACTTGAAGTCTGACTGTTGTAGATGCTATGACCCGACGGAGTGAGTCGAGTAGCGCAAAACGAAATGCATCGTCATCAAAAACGTCGTTTTTTTTTTGTATTACGGGTTGAATTTATTACGCACATATATTCCCAGAAGGACGGCACATTCACTGTGCGCGATTTTTTTAGCCGGTGTAGCAGAATGAAGGACGGCCTGACGGCGCATGAGGAAACACTTTTGGCGGTGGTTGTTTGGGTCGATCCGACCTTAGCGCTGACTGTGGTCGGAGTTAATAGTAAACAGAGTATGGCAATCATTCGCATGCTTCGTACTTATTACATGGATGTACGAAAGGCTGTGCTTTTCATAACGGCCTGTACCTTCCACCATCTGACCTAACGGATACAAAAATTATGATTCCTTTTGTCCTAGGACGATGCATTTCTAAAACGAATACCGGGTCATTGGGGTGCTCGCTAAAAATGCGTCACGCGATTAGGCAAAAAAAAAAAACATAAACCAATGTTGCTACATGGCTTTATAAAAAGGGCTGATTGATGCTACTTTTTAATACGCCATAGCTGCCCCATCCCAGCGGGGATCGCTTCCGAACCAGAGAAAGACGTCGTCACCCTCGGCGTAGCTTCCGGGTCCTCGAACTCTTGTCCACCAGCTCCCCCTGGTGGTGACGTGGACCGAGCCCATGTTACGCCTGTTCACGCCTCTAATAGTACCACGGAAGCGGTGACTTTTTTCTTCCAGCCCCTGAATGACTTCTGGAGACAGGCCCTCTTCCAGTGTAAGTCCGGCGCTGCGAAAATGTCAGAGGAGAGGGGAAAAAAATCTATTAGCTCAGCGATATTTCGTGGCACCCTCCTATGGCTTCTATATGTGACACCAATACAAATATCTGCTTTGTGATGACGTCACAAATGATGAGCACAAGGTGTCTGTTTCACTTTAGGCCCCACCACAGGTGACGCTGCAATTTGAAGGAGCCACTCAAAATGTGCCTCTTCACGGCGCCCATTGCCTTCGCGCCTTGCTATCACCATATTGCACGCACAGCGAGTGGCCCGCAAACCTGCGCTATCTTTTGTCATAATGGGCTTAGTCGTTCATTACAAACCCTCAAATAAAATGACCGACGCCGTGACGCACGTATGGCACAACTTGATTTGCTCCTGCAGAACCCAGGGATCCTGGGTTCGAGCCCCACCCCTGCCCGTTTCGATCTGGATGAGCATCGTACCGGCGTGCGGTCGTGTATCACTACTGCGTGACGCACGTTAAAGACCCAGGCTAGCGGTTTGTACCGCACTGGCTAAATTTCTCATCTACAGCTGGGAGACTCCTCGCCCCTGTGAGGCAGACCAAGTTCTAGGCTGTATAAACACACACACAACCCAATTTTTTTTTTATTTGCTCTATTCAATCGCCGCCACAGCTGCGGCCGGTCTTAGAGGGGCAGGGCAACGATTTTATGGTTGAAATAATTTACCGTTTATATTTTTATGTTGCTTATTGTTCGACAAGTAAACGAAAATATATGAACCCTTACCCCGGAAATCCGACAATTCCGCTGCGTAATCGCAAAAAAAAAAAAAAAATTATTTGCAGATTTGCCGCCACGTGTCGCGGATACAAGAACTGCTGTTTGATGTACTCTGGGGGATCTCGTCTGTCAGTTAGCGATTTGTGCAGTTCTGTGCGCAATTTAAGGTATTTTATAATCATGTCGTTTGAGCAAGAGAAATGCGTGAAAGTCTAGTATTATCCTTAAAATTAGTAAATTGTCGTGGCGCCATCTACCGGAAGTCAACAAAACCATCCCCACACTGAAGCCACCCTCCCCGTCGTTCCCGGGTTTGCTTGTGCTGCATCTCAGACATGTTCTTTCCGCGCGTGTGGGAGCACAATAACGATGACCGAAAAGACGAAGAATTTTGTGAGCCAACGCGCGAGCGATGATAGAACTGCATGGTGGTTGTGGCTTGGTCTACCTAGTGCCACTAAATAAGTTAAGCTTCAGAGTAACGCCACTTGGCCATATTGTGTCGTAGAATCATGGTTTCCAGTTATCTGAAGCTTTTTCTGAAATCACAGGAAAGGCTTTTTTGCCCTCCACAAATGTTTAAACCGTTCGCGACAGAGCAAAGCAATATTACATGACCTTCCTAACACCGAATCTAATGCTGAGGAAGTCGCACTTTTGAATCATGACGATCGGCCGTTGCGTCTGTTCTGCATACGAGCCAAAATGGCGGCGCCCACAACAATGCCGGGGAAAGGAGTGCCGATACTCTAAGCGCAGCTTATTTAGTGGCTCTAGGTCTACCCAGAGGTCTGCCGATGTCCCGTTCTGTGCCAAGAGCCCACCTTGCGTAAATAGTTTTCACTGTATTACTGAGCAAGTCTTCACCAAGAAATTTGTAAACGTAGAAAAATGTTTTAACAGCAGGAGAGGATTTATTACACGACGTTTCGGAAAGAGACTTCCCTTCTTCAAGTATCTTGAAAACACAGTTGCAAAGCAAACAGCATCAGCAACATATCGGGTAATGCCCTAGCAGTTTGGTTTGTTCGAGAACCTGATAGGAGTCTGAACTTTCGGTTTCTCGCGTTTCCCAACGTACGACCGTATCGCCCGCGGGGATCACGGGCGATTCCTATCGGTTGCGGTGTTTCGCTGTGTTCAAATCAGAGTCCCCTGTTTGTAAACCAACATTTCCTCTATCATCGTCTATAGCGCGAGAAACCCCACGGGGGTGCGTGGTGGCAGAAACCAACACGCCATGACGCCGAGTTGGTTGAGAAAACGGTTGAGACGGTGTTAAGAATAACAGGAGGAGCGCGGGAAGACCAAAAAACAGGGGCCACAGAGCCATTACGGAAGTGTCATGATCCCCCAGAGACGTCACTGCGCACGTGACTCAGAAGTGCTCTGTCGCCGATGCACGAGTAGAGAGGTGCCGAAAACTTTAATCTTATATTTTTATTAAAAAAAAAAAACTAGCGCGCGGAATAAGAAATGTTTTTCTGCTTTTGGATCTAAAAATGACCGACTCCAATTTTCACAATTATCTGGCCGAAGTTTAAAAATAGATGCATCGCCCCTGAAACGTGAAGCGGAGTACACCTACTTATTATCGGCTGCGAACAACAAGCTTGACGGTGCGTGTAAGAAAGAAAAAAAAATCGCGGGAAGCTTAAAGTAAGTGCATCCGGAACCAGTATTGCCGACATTGACAGATCGGTATTGTTTTTTTTTTCTTTTTTTTTAATCCAATGAAAGCAGCATTGATAAATTTTAAGACGGCGTAGAGGGTGTTTGACCAATCGTACAGGACGCACCTCACCGACGCTTTTGGTCGCGCAACTGGCAATGATACAACGCAGGGGATCATCATCCGCGTTCTTTCGCACATCCATCTTCGCGCCTGTTACTCGGGCGCTAAGTGCAGCCATAGCTTCCTCTATTAGCGGCGAGATGTTTTGGTGGCACCCTTGTTTGGTTACCTTTCGTGACGCCATTACCTTGCGAACAACGAGTTCGATAATGTTTGTATTGAGCATGGTGAAAGCCTGAAATCATAGCGCTCTCAAAGCGACACTGCCAACACCGTCCAAATGGAAGTTCTTTCATTCCTCTTATATGCGTCCATGAGAAATCCTTTGCTGACGTTATAGTCAGAAATTCGGCCAATCGTGGGAGGCCGAATACAGCGACGCTTTCGATCGCTCACGTCGCCAATACTCACAACGCCTGGCAGTTGGACGGCGGAGCCATAGAGTGTCTTCTCGCCGATTTAGAGCGCGAGGATCTTGCAGCACAGATCATCAAAGAACCATTTTTTGGGAAACCTTGACGTCAGCACACGACTTTTTTTAGCGCGAGGACCCTAAACACACTTGTTGGCTCGGGAGAAGTGTGTTTCGGCGTATCTACGCAGCGGGGCGCCAAGCACGTGGCTCTCTTCTCGTACGTTGTCTGCCGCTCCAACTTTTCCGTCGCGGCAGCCGCATCTCGTGGCGAACTGCCGGGCTTTGTGAGTATACAGGCGGCTATGATTGTCGCGCAACGCCCACTCTTCCCACGTTCTCTAAATCTATCTAAAGTTTACTTATTTGGTGGCTTTCGGTGACGCTCACAAGTGTTTAGTTGAAACTATTTGTGTTTCTTAAATATTAAAAACAAATTACCGATTTCTAGATAATCGAGTGACTTATCATGACGATTAGACTCTCATATTATGTCCTAATGGCAGTTTGACTCATCTGGACAGATCGTACTAATGTAGCTTTCATGGCTTAAAACAATCTGCAAAGCCCACAAAACGCCATGTAATAAAGAGCGATCCATTGCTTTATATGGTCCTCCTCGCTGACGTTTTTCAAGAGAATGGCGCTTAGCCGGAAGGAGAGATTCTCGGAAAAGGTGGGCGGTTTGAGCCGGTCAATCACGTCGCCACGTGAGCTCACGTGGTATCATCGCTGGCCGGCGCCTTCGCTCAGAAATCAGCTAGAGGAAGAGAAGCTGGGAGATGGGGATTCGCGTTACCTTTTCTTTTACAGTGGTTTTTGACTGGCCCACTGCACAATGGCGGCGGAGCCGTCATAGCGGAACGTACAAAACTAAAAACCAACATGAGATGGTGATGAAATGAAAATACATTTCGTAGCACCTCCAACCTGAGCGCAGCCGACGCTGGAACGCGAATGGACCGAACAAGCCACGTCAAAAGCGAAATGTGATAACCTTCGTCATATTTTTATTCGTGTTCAAGCATCTGCTGAATTACTGAAGCGTATCTTTCCTGCGTGTTTGTATTTGCTTGAACCTAAGACTGCGTTCCAAGTCCTGGTTCTAGGCCTTGCCAAGTGGCTGGACTCTGAATTCAGTTTTGTGGTCAGGTGTTAAAACAATAAAGGTAATATGTACAATCCTATGCAATCCAATGTCTGATGTGTGGTTACCTTGGGGGGTAGCGTATTTAGTTCCTCTGAAATGAGGTGATGAAAACGTTCATTTAAACTTAGGTGAAATGTCAGTCCCCAAAGCGGGCACCACATGAGCCAGACATCACGCTACTGGCAGTGCGCAGAGAGGTTTGAGCGCGAGTCATCGCAAGAGCCGTGCCCCGAATAGCACGGGGCAGCACGTTCAAGAAGGAACTTGGCACGCGCCACCCCAACCGCGAATACTGCGGCGACTCCAGTCTGTAGGCTGCCCCTCTCACGATGCCTGAGCAACGCGACCCCGGCCTAAGGACACGACGCGGCGCGTTCGCTTTCAAGCGTGGTGTCTGCATCCTTGGCGGCGTGAAATAATAATGTGTATTATTACGACGAGAGAGAGAGAGAGAGAGAGAAAAAACTTTTATTGGCGGAATATGCGAATTCCTTAGAGTGCGGTCCTCGTTGTGGCCGTTGTGGCGGCGACCTCCTTTGCCCTTTCCACCAAGGCGCTTTGCACCTCTGGGTCGGAGCTTCGGAGCGAGGTCTCCCACTCATCATGGGATGGGATTGAGGGAAAAGGGTCTTGTGGGCAAGCCCATATTATGTGGGGCAGAGTGGCTTTGTCTCCACATAGGGTGCATTCCGAGGTGGGGTACATTGAGGGGAAGATGCGGGTGAGGATAGCGGGGTTAAAAAAAGTGCCCGTCTGGAGTTGGCGCCAACTATGGGCCTGCTCCAGGGTAAGGGACTTGTCGGCTGGCGGGTAGACCTGACGGGAGAGGAGGTAGTGTGTGGTGATTTCATGGAAGCTGGATGGACGGTCCCTGGTGGATCTGGCCCCGTGATAGGGAT